TAGCCACGTTGTATGGCAATGCTTAACCTCTGACCGAGAAAAAGACCAGTTCTCAGATCACGAGATGCGTCTACCGGGCGTTTAGAAAGGTTTTTGAATAATTTATGGGCACTCGGACTCTACAGACCTAACGGCTCAACGATATAACTACCAGCAAGGTTGTTATACTTGCGCCGCTTGAGGTTTTCTGTGGGTAAGTGGGAAACAGGCCTCTGACTTCAGGCACGATGTTGAAATGACTCAACTTTTCGGCTTGCTGCTTGCTTACGTCTAAGTGCACCCTGTGTAGTAACATAGCGATGCGGAGTACCGCATCGCTGTCGATGCGGTGAGATCGTCCACCACCACGGTCATATCACGGTCATATCGTTATATCTTTGAGCTGTTTGGGGTTGAGAAGTTAGGTCCGTGACGATGCAAAGATTATCCACGCGCCTCTAGCGGCTAAATTTAGAAGTTGTCTAAGAATGACACTTTGCTTTCGAGTTGAGGTTAATAAGTTTAAACATAATCAAATGGATACCGATTACATACAGAAACCTGTTTTTAATAAAAGCAGAAACACAAATTATTGTTACGTTCCTCAATATAACACTTACGGAGAATTATATCATTTAGAGTTATATCAATAGGATATGATAATGAGCTTATGGCACCGACTTCTAACCTATAAGTGGGTGGGTAACCTATCAATACTAATGATACTTAGTTATTTTTTTTACTATTTAGTTTTGACTTTTTGTTTATTATTATTTTTTGGTTTTTTGAAGTCGGTTTTTTTTTAACGCAGTTTTTATTTTATTATTTTATCATTTTCAGTGTAAAGCTACATAGATTCGTTTTGTCACTTATATTTATACTTAATCTACATAGATGCAAAGTTCTAATCAATACAAATTAATGAATCCCAAACATAAAGTAATTACTGTATACCGTTGAGGAGTTCCCTTAACAATTACACTTCTTCATCATCAGACCCTTAATGACAGTCCCACTCTATCTAGGTGTAAAGTCCTCATCAATACAAATTATTCAATCCCAAACACAAGGTAGTTAATATAAACCGCTGAGCAGTTCTCTCGACTGTCTGTCGGCTCCATCATCAGGTCGACTCCAGACCCTTATCAATTCTTTTTTATGGCATAAGCCGGTAAACGATCAGACGGATGCACCTAATGGTAAGCAATCGGCGTCGCCCATGAACACCTGGAACACCAAGTGCGTTACCGGCCTTTTGGGGATTAGGAGTTTGAGGATCGTTGGGGATTCAGGAATTGGGGAGATTGAGAAAGGGGAGGGTAATTGGGCCTCCAATAACGTCACTCACACGACCAAGCCTTGCTTCACGTCGGTTTTCAGTGAGGCCGTGGTATCACTCCGGTCGAGCCGGCCCATTCGTGCTGAAGCATGGCTCTCCCACACTTTGTTTTGTATTTTATTATAATTGTAGAGTTTAAAAATTCTAATTAAAAAACATAATAGACGTATTACTCACCCCTAGATTTTTCGAAAGTTCCCCTCGGTTGCCCTAAGATCCCGTCATCAGATCCTGACCTCAGGGAAATGGGACTATCTCGGGCGTATACCCTTTCAAACAAAACACGAATTTTGAAAATGTGTTTACAAATGGCGGAGTAATGCGCGAACAAACAAAAAAAACAATCAGCCGAACATAGTACCTCCTCCTTTTTTTGAAGTCGGTATAAACTGTCAGTGTCGTTCTTAGATAGCTTCACAATTCTGACACTAGAAGCGATCGTTAGAATCTTTACATCGCCATTTTTGCAAAAATATTTTTTGTCTATTATTTACAATCTGTGGTTTCCTGCTGTCAATGTTGTGACTTCTGTCAAAGGCAAGCAAAAAACATCAAACAAACGACGAGTGCTTGGTGTATTTACTTACACATTATTTTCTGTAACAATGGATAAATTAAATAAGAGACGTTATTCGTCAAGTTCAGATAGTGCTGAAGAACATCGTTTAAAAGATATTAAGGAACGTGATGAGTTTGCAAAGAGGCTAAAAAAACGTGATGAAGAAAGAGTAAAGAAAGTTGCAGAGTCTTCCAGCAAGAGATCATATGAAGAAGCAGCTAAGCGCCTCAAGTTAGAAGCTGAAGATAGGGAAAAGATATTGCCCAAGTTACGTATTCACTCTCGTCGAAAGTACTTGGAGAAGAGGAAAGATGATAAGGTGATTGAGTTGGAAGCAGACATAGCTGATGATGAATATCTATTTGACGAAAGCAGGTTAGTCCTTACGTTGTTAAATTTAGCATTAGGAGTAATATATTACACAATAAGATATGTATTTCAAAGATAATAGTTCTATAACACTTGTCTTTTACTTACAGCCTAACTCAACGGGAAAGATTGGAAAGAGAACACAAAAAAACAATATTAAAATTAGCTAAAGAGCATGAAAAGGCCAGGGAGTTGGAGAATGTCCAGAGGTATCACATGCCACAAGATTTGGGAAAAGATGCGAAAGGTATTGTTAGAGTATATTTTTAGATATTATAATTTTCTAATTATATTGTATTAATAATATACATTTCTTTTGTGTTCACAGGTGAATATGTTGAAGTTGATGAAAGAGAAAAAGTGCCACATTCAGAACAACAAAAGTGGGAACAAGAACAAATTAAATCAGCCTTCTTTAAATTTGGGGCGAAAGATGCTAAAGCACAGGATGAGTATGAGTTATTACTGGATGAACAGATTGACTTTATCCAAGCTCTTCAATTGGAAGGTAATAAAGAAAAGAAAGAAACTGAAGAAAAATCAGAATATCAAAAAATAAGGATGACTATTGAGGAAACCAAGAAATCTCTGCCAGTTTACCCATTCAGGGATTCATTAATTGAGGCCATTAAAACTTACCAAATACTAATAGTAGAAGGTGAGACAGGATCTGGCAAAACTACACAAATACCTCAGTACCTTCATGAAGCAGGTTTTACAAAAGATGGCAAAAAAATTGGATGTACTCAACCAAGAAGAGTAGCAGCTATGTCAGTATCAGCCCGAGTGGCTCAGGAAATGAATGTCAAACTGGGAAATGAAGTTGGCTACAGCATCAGATTTGAAGACTGCACATCTGACAGAACTGTCATCAAATATATGACTGATGGTACTCTACATAGGGAGTTCCTTTCTGAACCAGACTTAGCCTCTTACAGTGTAATGATCATTGATGAAGCTCATGAACGGACATTGCACACTGATATTTTATTTGGACTTGTGAAAGATATCACTAGGTTTAGACCAGATTTAAAATTACTTATATCAAGTGCTACCTTGGATGCTGAAAAATTCTCAAACTTCTTTGATGATGCTCCTATCTTCAGAATACCTGGAAGAAGATTTCCAGTAGACATCTATTACACAAAAGCTCCAGAAGCTGATTATGTGGATGCCTGTGTTGTGTCTGTGTTACAGATACATGCCACACAGCCACTGGGAGACATTTTAGTTTTCTTGACAGGTCAAGAAGAAATTGAAACTTGTTTTGAAATGTTACAAGAAAGAACAAAAAAAATTGGCAAAAAGTTAAGAGAACTTATTATACTACCAGTCTATGCCAACTTACCAAGTGATATGCAAGCTAAAATATTTGAACCTACTCCAGAAGGTGCTCGTAAAGTAGTATTAGCTACTAATATAGCAGAAACTTCTTTGACTATTGACAATATTATTTATGTTATTGACCCTGGATTTGCCAAACAGAATAATTTTAACTCAAAAACTGGTATGGAAAGTCTAATGGTGGTACCTATTTCTAAAGCCTCTGCAAACCAGAGAGCAGGTAGAGCTGGCAGAGTAGCACCAGGAAAATGCTTCCGCTTATACACAGCATGGGCATACAAATATGAACTTGAAGACAATACAATTCCAGAAATACAAAGAATAAATCTTGGTAATGCAGTTCTCACACTTAAAGCTTTAGGAATTAATGATCTGATCCATTTTGATTTCTTAGATCCGCCACCACATGAAACACTAGTGTTAGCCTTAGAACAGCTTTATGCATTAGGAGCTCTCAATCATCATGGTGAATTAACAAAAGCTGGTAGGAGAATGGCTGAATTTCCAACAGATCCCATGCTGGCTAAAATGTTATTGGCCAGTGAAAAGTAAGTAACATTTCTTCTTTCTTGAAAATTCATTCCTGTTGTAATTATTTTAATAGTATATTTCAAAAAACAAGTTGTACAAAAATAAATTTAATTATATCTTGTTGTTTCCAGATACAAATGTTCAGAAGAAATAGTGTCCATTGCTGCCATGTTGTCAGTAAATAGCTCGGTATTCTACAGACCCAAAGACAAGATTATACATGCAGATACTGCACGGAAGAATTTCTTCCATCCACATGGAGATCATTTAACACTAATGAATGTGTATAACCAATGGCTTGGTTCTGAATATTCGGTGCAATGGTGCTATGAGAATTTTATTCAGTACAGATCAATGAAGAGAGCACGGGATGTGCGAGAACAACTGGCAGGCCTCATGGAAAGGGTTGAAATTGATATGGTGTCAAGTATTAGTGACGACACTAATATTCGCAAAGCAATTACTGCTGGATATTTCTACCATATAGCAAAGTTTTCAAAAGGTGGTCATTACAAGACGGTGAAGCATAACCAAGTGAGTATCTAATCCTGTTGCTACCAAACTAATCACTCAGTAAGTGTGAATAAGTACCTACGTTATCATTAAACGTGATTAAAATTAAAATGTTTCCTGTTTTTCAGACTGTAATGATTCACCCCAACAGTGCACTGTTTGAAGAATTACCTCGATGGGTTATATATCATGAACTAGTATTTACTTCAAAAGAGTTTATGAGACAGGTAACAGAGATAGAAAGTAAATGGCTTCTGGAAGTTGCTCCCCATTATTACAAAGCTAAAGAACTAGAAGACTCAACAAATAAAAAGATGCCTAAAACTGTTGGTAAATCTTCAAATACCTAATCAATAAAAACAAACATAACATTTCAACAATTTTTATTTCTAAAGAATCCTAAGACTAATAAGTTATGAATGAAAACAATACTATCTATTATAGTAATAGTAGTAGTAACTGACAAGATCTTAAATGTTGCTTTATAAATAGTAACTATTCCATGAATTATATGAAAATTAAGTACCTTTATAATATTTCAGCTTTGCTATTTTTTCCTTTATAGGAAGCTATTATTGTTATACAACAGGTAATAATTATTATAATAGTTTGGAACAGTTATACAGCAGGAATAAAAATCCACAACTTTAATTTGTTGGAATATCTTCACTCTCCCCACTGAACCTGCAATCTAGAATAGATAACACATTAAAAGATATCTACAGCTGACATCACAGATATTTTTAAGACTAATAATCATCTAATCTTCACATCATTGCAAAAGTCAAATAAAATATTTTTAATTAATCACAACTATAAAGAGTGTTAGAAATCTGTGCATCTCCCTTTCCTTTCCCAATCTCCATAGCGTGTAGGTTCAGGTCCTCTAGGCCCACCTACTTCTCCAGTATGAGGATTAATGTCATTGGGCCATGGAGGCAGTGGATTTTCATCCTTTTGAGATGGATGCATTGTAGGTTGCTCTCCGAGATCATTAATTGGAGTAGTTTCTCTCAACTTCTTTCGGAATTCTTCCAACCTCTTAGATTGAGGCCTTTTTGACTCATCTCTAGCTTTTTCGGTTTGTTCTGCCACCTCAGGTGTAGTGGTATTATGAGAATACTTACAAATGGTAAATCTTAAAATTGATAAATCTGTAAAAAGACAAAATCATCTGCAAATAAATTCCGGAATTATTCCGAAACGAATAATCATACATTTCAAAAAAGGAGGAGGTTCTCAATTCGAACGTATATAGGTATAGGTATATGCTTTTATTGTGTTGGATAGTTCATTTATCTAAGAAGGTTATAGGCTAGAAAACATCTCGCTACGATCACTAGGAGAAGAGCAAAGCGAGTGAAACTGCACCAGACCCGCTAGTACACAATAATGGCTTAGTGTGGCTAAACAATGAAAATGGGTAAATTGTTATACCTGTAAATAGCATAAACGATGCGTCGTTTGTAAACAACAATAAATTAGGTAACTTAATTGAAACGATATGTTATAGCTTAACAAAAATTAGTATACTCACTTTTGGGGATAATTTTCTGTAAATTATACATACGATACATTGTACAAAACAAAATCAAAATGAAGTCGAAGTCGAAAGAAAAGTACTTCAGAAAAATGCTTTCTTTTCAGTGACAGACGACAGTGACAATCAATGAATGTGACGTCACGACGACGACGATTCTGACAGACAGTGTCAATGTCAACTGTAAGTGTCACACACAGCAACTTTACGGCTTAGACCATAGACTCGGTTGGCAAAGAAAAAAAAGCAAATGTTACCGCTCTACAGAAAGGTGAGTAAAAGTAAAAATGTATGGGCTATGGACGAACCGACCAAAGAGTATATTACGTATAGGGGGAACCGACACCCGCCACTGTTGACTGTTCTTTACTTCTATTTGGAAAATATTATTGACATGGTGCTGTCGTAGCTCTGTCGGGTTATTAAAACAGAAGACTGCACAATTAATAGGTTTAATTATTACATATATCAGAATCAAGACCGGCTCGCACCGATACAAAGAAATGCCCGAATGCTATGGCTGGCGTGTGTCGATGAAGAAGAAGCGCGGCGCTCGCGCGGCCGTGGGTTTTTATACCCCGTCCCGCGCGTCGCCGCCTCTATGGTCGATGGCCATACTAATGCGCCGACAGTGCACTTATTCACTGTGCCTTTGATAACGTCAATAACGTGTGTGTGATAAAAAAAGGATATTTACTGTGTGTTTATCCAATTTGGATAATCGATAAACACATGTAAAACTGTAAATAACTTAAAGTATTTTAAACTGTAATTGCCTACGAATCCTCAAGTATCCGAACCTAATTTACCTAACCGAATCCTAATTTTCTCAAAGTATCCGAACATTTGAGAAAATTAGGATTACCCCTTGCCACTGTGACGTGTTTGTCACTTTGTCTGTGAACTGTCATGTAGTTTGTCACAACAAAAAATTACTTTGAAAGTTCCAAAAGCACTGTGACACTCCAACTAGCCAACGAGGTTAAAAACTTAAGTCTTACTGGAAAATGAAATGCTTACAAATTACATAAAAAGGAAAAAGCCCATAACGCAATTGGTACTGTATACCTTAAAAATGGCAAAAAGTTCATTTGAGTATGTTAAGAAATTTGAATTAGATGATACTCTCTTGCCTAATAGTTGGATAGTGGTAAGATTAGATGGCAAGTGCTTTCATAAATTTTCAGACGACCATAAGTTTTCTAAACCTAATGATTTGAGAGCTTTAAAATTAATGAATTATGCTGCTTTCAATGTACTTCGTGACTTCAATGACTTATTAATGGCTTTTGGGCAAAGTGATGAATATTCTTTTATTTTCAAAAAAACTACTACGCTGTATAAAAGACGTGCAGCCAAATTACTTACAACTATTAACAGCAAATTTTCTTCCTCGTATGTATTTTATTGGAGTAAATTTTTTGGCGATGTCCCTCTAAAGTACCCGCCAACATTTGACGGACGTATAGTGTTGTATCCTAGTGATGAAAATTTAATAGATTACATGAAATGGAGACAAGCAGATGTCCATATAAACAATTTATATAATACTACATTCTGGACCTTAGTTTTAAAAGGAAACCTATCTCCATCACAGGTGAGTTTGCCTTTGTTGTGTTACCATTTTGGATTTAGTCATTCATACTACACTGACTAAATATGCCATAAACGTAATACTTAAACTGCTGCAACTGCACAGTTAACACATCATGATCAACCAGCTGCTGTCTAGTGCAATGTTTATCTAACATTGTGTTTATAACTGCACCCATGATGCAGGTCAATGCTCATGGGCCAAAAAAAACAGCAAGAAGACCTATTAAATTATTAACAATTGATCATTTATATTTCAGGCTGAAAAACGTTTATGTGGGACAGTCTCTGCTGATAAAAATGAAATTTTATTTCAAGAATTTCAAATTAATTATAATAATGAACTGGAAATATTTAAAAGGGGAACACTGTTAGTAAGGAAGACCATTCCACATAATAATGTAGATAAACATAATAATGTTATAGTGGATACACATGATGATATGCTGAAAGATAGGTTTTGGAGTGAGCATAAAAGTTTATTATTAAATAAATGTAAAGAACCAATTGTGTATAACGGACCTGTCACTGATATAATTGCAGAGCAAGTAAATTCTATTAAAGAATGATGTCAACAAAATAAATTATATTATATTTTTTAAACAAGTACTTCTTTTTTTATTATATGCCTGACTTTACATTTTCCAACAGATTTTTTTAAACAATTTGTAAAAGATGTGTTTCTGATCACAATTTCTTTAACATTATTTATCAAGCTATGCTTGTTATGATGACATAGCAGTTGCTCTTTAAACTGTCAAACACCAAGCGGTCACCGGTGACCGCAACCTATTGTTCTATAATTGTGTCTACAAAACCGGTACTCGACGAGTTAAATTGAACTTGTATACTATATTTATGTTAATGTGCATGATTAGCTGAACCGATTAAGAAGCAGTTTTCAGAAACATTTGTTACACTTAGAGTTAAATTAATTGACCAACTTCAGTAAAAGAGGGGATTGAAGTCTGTTTTTAATAAATGCAGTTTAGAAAAGAATTTTACATACCTACATACATAACAACAGGCCTGTCTCAGTAGGCAGACCAGACTATGGAACGCCAATTGCTAAGATTCTTACATACCTATTTCGCTTCACCAACAATCAGTTTTTAAAAGGAATTATATTGATAGTATTATCATATTGTTATGAGGTAATTTTTTTGAGATTCTAAAGTCTCGAGAATTCTATAATAAAAAGAAAACAGCTTTGGATTATAATGATACTTTATTTATATAACATTAAATAGGTGTCCAACGATTTTAAATAACATTACATTTTCAATCTAACCAACATGATTTAAAAATAAATATTGAGTACTGTGCTCACATAAAGAATAATATTTTAATGTTATAGATTTTTGAAAGGCGCAAATATTTCGAAAATAACTTTGTTACCCTATACATTAAGCTTTTAATAATTATGTTTCTACCATTATTTAATTTTTTTGTAGAAATAACAGGTACTTTATCCTATAAGTTTGCTTAGATGACCTTAGCAAGTTTCACAATCGGAGGATTTATGACAACACCAATATCTCAAGCTATAGAAACACAGAACTTGAAATTATTTGTTGAAATGAAATACTAGCAGTTAACATAAAATAACTAGCTAACCTCAAAAAACCTCAATACTGGTTGAAAGATTACTCATTGTCAAATACTCTCACAGCAATGTAGACAATAATATTGTACTGTGATATTCAATCAAAATATCCTGTAGTTACATATATACAAGAAGCAATGGTTACTTGTATATTCAATGATCAATGAACAATCTTATGTGTAGAATACAGAAAATATTTATAATGTTTACAATAGTTCTTATTATTAACTACATTGTAACTGTATTATGTATACATACATTTGTCCTGATCAATATTGCAAATAGGTATGTACAAAGCAAAAGTATGTTTAAAGGAATTCTTAAAGTTCAGAAGTATAATATATACTGTTTAGAAAATGGGAATGTAGTTGTCAATCTTAGCACGGTGCTTTTGAGCCACACACTCACTAATCCATACAATGTTTCGGCATTCTTGTTCCTTCAGCTTCAGGTATGAATAGAACACCCCGAAGTGGAATTGTTGCAGGAATGCATGGACATTGAGGCTCACCTGAAATTGTTAAAATATGATGTTTAGCCAAGATAATTATTCTTTATTACATTATTTTTTAATTATTGTAAAAAATATGTGTAAATTTTTGTTCTATCTACAATATTAATTAAATTATAATTAATATTAATAATTTATATTAATATATATACAATTCTAATTTTGTATAATGTTAGTACAAAGACATTAAGACTATGAAAGATATGATGAATAAATCTAAAGATACCAAATAAGTACAATTTGAAACTTGCCTCATGCTCAAAGAACTTGTCCTCCAAGGTCTTGTCACCAACATTAGAGCCAGCACCCTCAAACAACGCTTGGTACTCAGCATAGTACTCGGCAACAGCTTTGACCTGCTCATAATCGTCAGCTCTGGCGAGAGCAGCCAATCCATCAGGGTTCAGTTTGCCACAGCGTGGGTACAGCTTAGCACGGTCATCTTTGGACAATTCTGTCCCAAACGAGTTGATAGTGATGATGATTGCACGGCGATCAGCTTCAAACTGCAAATATTATTGTTTCATATTATATCAAAATAGATAACAAATAAACATAGAAACATGGTGAATTATGGTGGTATCATGTTTCATGATGTGCATGCCTCAAACTTGATGAAATGATATTGTTGTTAAAAATAAATGTATAAACAACTTACAGCCAGAATTTCACACATAACATCAGCAGTAGTTTCACCAATCTGCTTGCAGAAATCATAGAAGGCTTCCAGGTAAGCCTTGTACAGGGTGTTACGAATGATCTCAATATTCATCTCATCCAAGTCTTGCTCACTGATGCAGTCGACAAAGAATGGGGCCAATGGGGTGTCAACAAGGACTGCATTGTACAGTTCAGCAGGTGTAGCAGCAACATGGATGGCTTCCATTTGCTCAAAGGAGCCCAGGGGGTGGCATTTGGGAATGAGCTCCGAAATGGGCCTCTGGTGTAGTGTACCAGTGATCAGCAAAATAATGTTGTCAATCATGTAACTGTAAGTAATGAAGTCCAAGAAGGTCGAGAGAGGCTCCACTGAATGATTCCTTAGATGCTGGAATTCAATTACGAGCTTCTCACGAAGCTTATCGTCAATTGTAGAGACAGAAAGTGGGCTGGGCTCATTTGCAAGGAACGTACCATAGTCGGTGCCCTGCAGGTGAAGCTTTAAGTCTGTAAACAATAGTTAGATGTCAAATGTAACGTGAATACAAATTGTCCACCACAGTAACTAGTAATCACAAATGGTAAAATGGATAATGTCAGTTATTATACAACAATCTACAAACCTTCCAGGGTCTCGCATTGCACCAAATTAAGGTAGTCAGCCTGCTTCAGGATTCCACACTTGAAACCACGGCACAGTCCTTCTAAATATCCAGCATCGATGTTAAAAATGCACCCCTTCATTTTGCTTCTGTAATCTTTTTACTGAAACAGTTTAACTTTACCCTATTGGATATTTTAGACAACTCAAATCAGTAAAAAAGCCCAAAGAGACACAGAAGAAGGGAATCAATTGAGGTGGGTGATCAATGATCATATGATGTAACCATAGACAAGTGTATTCTTTTTTTGTTTTTTTAAGAAAATTAAGAATAATATTTTTCCGTTATTGAAAATAGAGTATCAAATTTTATTTCCATCTGAATCAAAGAATAATATATATCTCAAAATGTTACATTTACAAATAATGTTTATTTATATTCACTAACAAGTGAAGAGAATATTATTATATCCACGTTAATCCATTTTGTTTCAGCAGCAAGCAGCACCAGTTCAAGCGTTGTTTTTTAACGTGCTGGTGCCCTGGTGGTGACTAAGGACGCGAAAAAACAGAGGTCATTCATGATGTCACATAACAATTATTATTGAAGCGCCAAAATATTATTGGTGTATTTATGTATGCCTATACTTGCAACACCGTAATGTTCGTTTATTCGTAATGTAGGAAATGAAGTCTATCAAACATAACGGTACATATGTCACGCGACAGATGTACTTCGTATGAATGTGTGTATGATCTGCATGGAAGTCTACAATGCCAGAGGCCTTAGTACGAGTTTGATTTACGTTTAAAGTATTCGAAACGAGTATGCGTTCGACACTCTGAATTACCGGCACCAATGAAGCAACCAATCACAGCACCGAACCCATACTCGTTACGATTACTTTAAACGTAGAACAAACTCGTACTGAGGACTCAGTATGATGTCATAATAGCAGTTGTTTCAACTGACTATGTCCACCTTTTTTTTCAACGGCCTTGTGAAATGGTGGTGACGATCAAGCCAAAGAATAAAAAGCATGTAAAAAGTCACTCAAGTATTTAACAAGTAGGTAATGAATTTGTATGAAAATCCAGAGAAAATGTAAACTTGGATAAAGCTGCATAGGTAGGTAGTCTATGGACAAAGCATAATGTCAACTTGATAAGTTGACATCAACCGATTGACAAATGACAGAATAGACATTTAAAAAGTAAAAAAGTTGTTTTTATTGTTGTTGACGTGTCGTAATAATTTAGTCTAATATTAGTTTTTCAAAAATTGACCAGGTTTTATAAGATGGATTCTGCTTACAATAATCCTATAAGGCAAAGAATTAATAAAATATTTGATAGTCATATACTTTCTGATAATACAGATGCATTACATTCTGTGTCTGGATTTTGTTCATCAAACTCTGCATACACAAGGCGAGTTATCGTAAATGAAATTGAAAAAAAGGATATGTTGGTAAATAAAACCGTTCTAACAGAATACAATAAGGTGAAAGATAAGCTGCAAGTGTTACTCGACTCCCTGTCGTCCTTGGATGTTGCAGTCAAAGATATGTCAAGGAGACTATCCGATTCGAAAAACAAGACCCACCATCTTATAACTCAAACAACTAAGCTCAAAGACGAAAGGAAAAAGACGGAAAAGAAACAAGCATGGGTAGAAGCATTTGTTAAAGAATTCCAGTTATCCCCAGAACAGAATGAGTATTTATACAATGTTTCAGTCAAAACTCCTTTGACACTAGATTTCTTTGGAACATTGTCTCATATAGAGAAATTGTATAGTAATTGTAAAACACTTATAAAGTGTTGGCATCAGACCTCTGCATTTGACATCATGGAAACTGTTGGCTTACAACAAGAAGTTGCTATAGAAAAACTGTATCATTGGACCATTGGAGCTTGCCTCAGTACAGATTCACCAAACAATGCTTTGGTACCTACTGCTTTGGCAAAATTTCAGAATAGGCAAGTCCTGTTTTCTAATATCATTGATGAATATAGTTCTGCCCGGAAAGCAACAATAGTGCAAATGTTTATTGATGCCTTAACTAAGGGTACAGATGGTTCTAAACCAATAGAATTTTATGCAAATGATGCTAAACGGTATGTTGGAGATATATTAACCTGGGTGTACCAAGTAATACCAATAGAGAAAGAAAATCTTTCTACTTTATTTAAATTCTGCAATATGCCTGAAAAAAATCAACTTATCATAGATGCTTTGACCAATATTATGGAAGCTCTGTGTCCTCTACTAAAAGTCAGAGCAGAACTGATATTGAAGCCCGATAAAGATCCTCTTGTCTTGTGGTCCATAACTAATTTAATCATTTACTACAAAGATGTAATACAGGCTGTTATAGCAAATGGTCACCTGATAAACACATTTGAAGAACTTTTGAAAAAAAGTGAAGAAGTTTTTGTTATAACTTTGGATAGCAAAATTCAAAAGGAACTTAGCCATGGAGTTAAAGCTCCACCAGTTGATTTAAACCCTTCTATAGTGGTAACAGATTTGGTCAGTTTCCTTCGTGATTTGTTGGCCATTATGAATGTGTCTCACAATATTAATACTGCTGACAGAAAAATGATAATAACACACATATTGGACCCATTATTACATGCAATAAATGAAACTGCTTGCCATTTAAGTTCCACTGACATGTCAGTATATTTATTGAATTGTATCTATCACATACAGTGCACCTTATCACTGTACACAGTAATGGATGAATATAATGAAAGGTTACAAGCTCAATCTGAAGCTCAAATAGATACTTTAACTTCTGAGCAAGCCAGTTACCTGGTTGCTAATTTGAATTTGGGTCCTATTTATACTATACTCCAAGAAAAAATAAGTGGCCCTTTATCAGCAATACCTGGAATGGATACATCAACATTAAAAACGTTTCTTAACAAATTTGATATGTTTCTAGTATCACCAGATGTATACATGCTGCCACAGCTGAATTTATTGTTGAGTCATACTCACAAGTCATTAGTTAAAAAACGAGCATTTGAAGTAATATTTGCTATTTACACTCAATTATATCAAGCAGTTCATGATCCATTGAATGGATATGCTGAACCACATACTATTGTTCGCAGAAAACCAGAAGAGGTCAACAAGCTACTTGTGTAAAAAAAATCTTTAATATTATAATGTTGATATCCATTTAAATTATTACTATATAGATTAGATTAGATGAGATAATATTAATATCAAAGATATAATATAATGAAATGCTTTTTATTTGTAGTCCCCCCGCTCTATTCCCAAATCTCCATCCTCAAATCCCTAACCTGCATTTGCAGGATTTGAGGAAGTTTGAGGATGAAGTTGTTGTTGTTGATGTTTGATGATGTTTGAGGATGAATTCTGGATTCAGATTCTCAGATTCTCATTCAGATTCTGGTGTGAGGTGTCCATTGCTTGCCATCAAGTCATCTGTTAATCATTGTATTTTGTAACACCTAATAGTTTGTACCTACATTCATTACAAATAAATAATCTATTCTATTGCATTACACGTATTGTGCCTATTCAACCTAAAAAAAATTTTCATTTATGTGGAGATTTTTGTTAACGTCAGCTGATTGCCCAGTTAAGAGTGCTGGAATCAGTTCCAATTGGTTCTAATCAGTCGCGGAGAACGTAACCGGTTATCGGGCTCCGGCTCGAAGCGAAGAGAAGGAACGGGGTGGTGTTTAGTCAGTAAGAGTCTGACTCTCCCTCCCGCCCCCGCCTCACTTAGGCGGAAGCAGATTATCGATGACTTCCCGCCCTTATAAAAAATACTATTATTATTGTATGTCTTTACCATTCACGGGACCACAGGGTCCCGGTCATTTGGGAGGCGTACGAGGGGCCGAAGCCAACTGCGCAGAGGCCCTTTAGACAACTTTAATATAAATGTAATGGACACACAAACCGGCGACTATCCCTGTATGCACTATGGAAATGCACCCAAGGACAGTTCCCGGTTAGTGCAGAACTATTGTGGATAATGGAAAAAAGAGGTAGGGCTATAGATGGGTTGCTGTGGACTGGGAAATTGGGAACTATGGATGACTATGGCACCTGCCGAAACAATGTAATTATTACACGTAAAAATGGCAGGCGGAGACTCGCCAACTCACCGACCGGGCCCCGGGAATGGTTGCTAGATATAGCAACAGAGGGGCAACGAGAATGTGAGTGGCT